ATTTAATCTAATTCCCTAGATGAAATTAATTTTCGCTTTTCGTTATTAAATATTTTGTAGGTAATGCATGCTATAGATTACAAGACCTTATTTTAATGTTAACATGACAACAGTTCATCTGAAGCCGTAATAAGTCACCTGCAATCTTTTCCTTTTCCCAGAAGCCAATGAGCGAATCAAGCACCTCAGAGGCTCTCGTCATCTAAACCCCATTATCCCTTCCATTCCTCCCTCTATTTTGTTTGCAAAAGCCAACGGCTTGGCAGGCAGAGGTAGTTGTCATGAGAGATCTCCAATGGCCAAAAGGCCAGAAGAGCTGTAAACAAGGGTAGATTGACCTCTGAAGTCATTAAATCAACGGAAAGAAACCCCTGAAAGAAAATTACCTAGTTCTCCTGGAAGAGGTATGAGGCATAAGCCCAATACTTGGCACAATGTTTAATAGCCCAAAATATTTATGAAAATGAACTGTGGGACAGTCTCATGAAGACAGGAAACAGTCTTTGAACTAGGAATGCCAAAACATTGAAAGATCAAGCACTATAAGTTCAAGCAAATAAAATTTTTGATGCAATAGAAGATGTCAACATGTTGTTTAGAGAAACAAAAAAGAAGGGAAATTGAAGTTACAAGAAAGGAAACATTATAACTGAATGGATTGTCCCATTTGTCGTTTTCTTTATTTGTTTATTCTTTGCTCTTGTTTGCTCCTTCTACCCCTTCCCTTATATGCCCCTCACTATCACATGTTTATCTTCCTTTGGATTTTTTATTTCAATGTTGGTGGTTAATCTCAGAAATGGCTCATTTAGTGTCCCTTACATTGTTTTTTATTTCAATATAGTATAATTTTTCCACCTAGGATAATTTTTTTATGTGTTTTTCCTTTCTCTGTCTCAGGTTAGACTTGCGCTTCATACTTATATATTTATATTTATATACCACTTGTGATTTTATTGTAGTCGTACAGGTTTTTTTTTTAATATTGTATTAAATTTCAATTTGATTTGCTTTTGTATTGTTCTTTTCATATATAAGTTTTAATTGTGAAAAAAGCTTGATAACAGACCACCTGATGATGCACATTGTGTCATGAAACGTTGTCTTTAACAGATTGATGCTAATAAAATAATTGTTTTGATTGTCTTTAATATTGGAGGATATCTCCGAACATAAAAATATACTACCAAGAAGGTCAATTAGAAGACCCAATTTAATGGAAAAACATAAAAAGTACTATGAGAGCCTTCTGATAGAAAACAGAATTGAATTTTAGCCAGAAGATATTGAGCCAGCACAAAAACCAGAAGTTACTTTGTAAGAGGAATATTTTTCAAGGAAAATTGAAAAGTAATAAAGCACCTGGGCCTGGGAGTAGTGTACACACAGAGCTTGCAAAATATTACCCTCTTATACTATTGGACTTACAGAAAATTTTTATGACATTTTGAAACAAAGAAAAATGCCAAAACAATTTACTTAGCCTATATGAACTCAATTCATGATATGAAATAAAAAGTATTGCATTAACTGTAAGTGCAACTTCATCTTTGGTTAGTCTAAAGGGACATGTACTAGAGATGAAAATTGAAATGGAAGACTCTAAATAAATAAAATAATATGTAAGTCTAGGAAGATTCTGAATAGACAATATTTTACATTACACAACTGATGGAGAAAGTAATTGAATAAGAAAGGGAACTACACTAATATTTATAGATTTAAAGAGGCGTATGATAATGAACCAATTAAAGGAATGGGGAGCAAGGGAAGAAGAAGGAATATCAACAGCATCTATAATTCCAGAAGACCACATGGTAATAGCAGGAGATGAACACTTGGGAGTCAAACCAACAGTAGATGGTGAAGAATAACAAGAATGGCTAAAAGATAGTTGCATCCAGTGCTATGGAACTTAATTATATCAAAGATTACAAGAAAATGCATATACAATTACTTCATAGGAAATACAATACTATGTAGATATTGCTGCAAAAATGAGAGACAAACTTTGGGCAACAAAAATCATGTTCCGGTAAAGTTGTTGTTAGACAAAATAATAAATAAAATTAATGCACAAACAACCTTGAATGAAACAATGAAAATTAAACAACAGAAATGCTAAATATATAGAGAGATAATATTAAATGTATGGGTCACATTGAGTCAAAGTCTTTATCAATGCTGAATTTTTGCATCTGAATGACGATCAGCTTCTTTTTTCCTTTGTTTTTTTCTTTCTTTTTCTTCTTTTTATTCTTTCCTTCTCTTTTTTTTCTTTTCATGTTTTCCTATCGTATTTAATGTTGTGGAAACTGTGAAGATGACATTATGGTGCTGCTAGGGGGTGAAAGGACAAACACAAATACAACCATGACTGAGGCAGGACTTAAACCCACAATCCTTCAGACTGAGATTGCTATGGCACAACTGCCTTAGCAATCTCAGCCACCAGATTGGCTCAACCATTTTATGTTACCATAATAACAATGCTTTCCAAGGTATTCTCAGCTTTTCTGAAGGATGGAAATACTTTAGTTTCTGAATACACAGAAAAACATTTCCCTTAAAATTCATAGATAGGTATACACAACATTTTGTAGAAAACAATACTCAGAAAATATTTAAATGAAAACAATAAATTCCCTTTTGTTGCAAAAACATTCATGGATTAGACACTGAATTAGATAATAAAAACATCATAAGAAATCATTTCATTTTTTCATGATTCCTAAAAGTCTAATCAAATGAAACTATTGGAAGGCCACAAACTCTTTCACATTAACATTTTTGAGACAAAAGTTGGAGACATTTATTGCTAACAAGTTGTGAGTTAGAAAACATATAGTGTTAAAAAAAACACAGAGAAGACCTAAAAAACAAAGAAAACGTTAAAAAGAACTCGTAAAAAGTTGGTAAAATGTTGATTAAAATATTAAGGGAAAACAAATATAAAAATTAAGTATTACCAAATGACATCCAAGATAAAAATAGAGGGAGAAATATACTGCGTGAAAATTGGAGTGTCAGCAAATAATATTTTATTTTATGTAAAAACATATGTTTATAATGTTGCTTATAGCAGGAAAATGCATATTTTAAACAGAAATTATTAGTTATGAAAATGATACATAAAGCTTAAGAAATATTTTAAAAATGGAACAGCATGAGAGTAGTCCAACAAGAAGAAGTTCAATTAGGGAAATCAAAGACTGTCTAACTGCAGATAACCATATTTTAAAGTAGAGAAAAATAACACGTCATTGTCTTCTCTCAGTGATCACAGATGTGATCTAATAACTTATTAATATTGTAGAAATTTACCCCTTATTTATACCTTAAGTAATTCAAAATTTAAATTGTGCACTCAAATAGCTGTTAAAATAGGATTAATATACTCACCAAACATTTTCACCAAGAAGTGGAGTTAGTGAGGTTTTGTTCTCAATGCTTCAATTGGACATGGAAACATCCAATTGAGATATATCTAGGTTATTAATTACACTATTCCAGCATCATGGTATTAAAGATGGAAAACAACAGGAAAAATGGGTTATCTTCATTAAAGAAAATGTATGATTTGATGGAGAGGAGGCATAAAATCCAAAGATCTTCTAATCCTAATGCAGGAGCAGGCAAATTTCATTCACCAGATTGGTATTCTGCTCTGTCATTCCTAGAAAATTCAAAAAAAATACTGCATCACACTTAGTACCTTTCTATCAACATCTCCTCTTATCCTCAGTGATGTTTCAATATAATTTATAGTTCCAGAAGTTCAGTTTATAATCTTTATTTTCTGAAAGACTGCATTGTGTAAACATGCACCAGGTCACACAAGTAAACTCTTTAGGTGGATATACTTTTGATTCTAGTATACATTTACTAATTAAAAGTCAATTTTAGCCATGTTTAATACATTTATGATTAAAGGCCAAATAAACATAGAGGTGAGACACATTGGCTAAAAAATTAGTATTTCTATATTTATTGTGTGCAAAAGGAAAACCAAACACCTCATTTGTGATTGTGTTTTGCACTTAATATTTGTGTTGCATTACATTTTGTAAATTATTCCTAAGTAATGAATTTTTAATGTATCTATTAGATTTAACAACAATACTGGTTACTGTAGAATAAATCAAAACCTATTTTACCACTATTCGTTCTATTAACAAACCAAAAATTCCAAATATAAGGGTGATGAACAGAATTTACCAATATATGCCCATGAGTAAAATAGGTGCACAATTTCAGAAAGGCACATATGAAAGCAAGAATATGTCTACTGATTTATTTAATTAAGAAACATTTTGCAATAGAAACAAAACTGTCTAATTTTATGTAACTCTATGTAATTATCAATTTGCAATCATGAACGATTTATTAATTGGTAATAAATAAATATCTTATAAAAATGTATTTAAACAGAATATAGCTACAAGTAGTAGTATAGTAGTAGTAGTAGTAGTTTACGTAGTAATAGTATTGAAGAATAAGGAAAAATATAAGTTTCAAGCATGTACTTGCGTTTTTAGCAGTTATAAAGTTTTTTTTGTTAAAAAGCCACGTTCATTCCAATTTACTTGAAACCATTCCTTAAAATACGTTCTCTAGTAGTTATATATTGATAATGAACCTCGTTTGCCGAATAGTTTATTCATGCGTAGTGCGACAGTGTGTCGGCTTGTTTCTTTCATTGTTTTCATGGTGATAACAAATAAATATAAGGATGTCATATTTATTCGTATAAGGACAAAATTATATAAATTCAGAGTATGTGTAAGATATTTACATCGTGCGTACGTCTTAAACATCCCGGTCCCGGTCTTCTTGAAAACAAATGATAATCTCCACTATTGTCAAAGAATGTCTATTTTGCTCTGGTTCCCGATGCACATTATTCTCTGGAAAATCTTGTCATGTGACTTCAATTGATCATCTGACACGGTATTGAGGTTGAGGTGTGGTGTACAGGGGTGAATTTCTTCAATTCCAAGATGATGAAGACAAGATATGTACTTTTAACTACGTTTCTTACCACAGCAGTGCTTGCAAGCATAATTTTAACTCTATATTATGTTTTAACTGGAAAGGGAGAGCGTATAAGTGTTGCATGGTTTCTATCCGACTCAAGCCCTCATATGTGGGGTTGTATTGGAATTGGTCTAGCCGTGGCTCTGTCTGTTGTTGGAGCGGCATTGGGAATTCACACTACAGGAGTGAGCATCGTTGGTGGTGGCGTGAAAGCACCAAGAATTAAAACCAAGAATTTAATCTCCGTCATTTTCTGTGAGGCTGTTGCTATTTATGGTCTCATCACAGCCATAGTTTTGTCTGGTCTTCTGGAAGATTTTCCCTGGAAACAGGTACAAGACAACCCATCTTTGAAGAGCATAAATTGGTTTTCAGGCTACCTGTTGTTTGGAGCTGGTGTGTCTGTTGGTTTGGTTAATCTTTTCTGTGGTATTACTGTTGGTATTGTTGGCTCGGGTGCTGCTTTGGCAGATGCAGCAAATCCTGCCTTGTTTGTTAAAATTTTAATTGTAGAAATCTTTGGTAGTGCTATTGGGCTGTTTGGTCTTATTGTCGGTATTTACATGACATCTAAATCTAAAATGGGTGCAACTGAGTAAGTAATACTTGCATATGCATACTATGTTTTAATAGTTTTCTGTCTCACTGGAGAGGGGAGAGAGAATTACATTGAATTGTAGAGAAATTGTTCTAATATAGAATTTGGTGACAGGCTGAATTTCTTTTCAAAAGTTGTTGATCGAATGCTCATCAGCTGTAAATTTCATTTGTATTATAAATTACCGTGATACTCAAATTTTTATGTTTAGTGAATAGATTATAACTGTGACAGTTTCCTGATGGTAAAATGTGCTGTGAGTGTGAATATGTTTCACTAAAATCATACTTGTTTATTGATTCCAACATCTTTGTGGAGTACATGAAATGTTTCAATCCTCATCCTATGAATATTATTGTCAATGAATAGAAAAATGCCAGTACTTCTCATGCATTCATGTAAATAACCTCCCCAGTTGGAAGGAATGTATAATTAAATTTACTTTTGTGGAGTGTACTTGGCAGTTATGATTTTCTCCTTTTTTTTTGGTGTCAGATGACTTCTATCTTGGGGAAATTTTATAATTTAATAACTTACAGTAAAGACTTGTGGAAGTACAAGAAGTACTTAACAGTTCATTGCACCGCATTTTCTTTGGTCTGCAATAAAAATATTTGTTTTTTGTGAAAAAATATGATATTGTTTAATTTTTTAAACCAATAAATATTTCATTGCAGGTACTTGCATTGCACATATGTTCCTTGAATTGAAATCTTTAATTCTGCACATTGATGTATCTGTTGCTCAGAGGCAAAAGATTAAGTTAATTATTTTATTAATAGGAATTCATTACATCAGAATAATAGAGCAACTTATGTTCACCATGAATTAAGGATTTCTGTTGTGCGTGTTATTTCCAATAGTAGAAAAGATCATATCGTGAGCAATTTTGGTAACACTTATAATTGAAAGGGAATGTGTTAATTAAATAAATGTAACTTTCATTTCCAGTCAGCAATGATTTGTATTATATTGTTTTGTATATTTGTTCATTAATTGTCAGCATTGAAAGAAAATATTGCTACTTATACGGACATTTGTAAATATGAACATTCCTTCGTAGATATGTGTATTGCGTGTCATTGTTCATAAGGGGTAATACAAGAATATGTAGAGTGTAAAAAATGTTACTTATTTGATTGTGAAAAGCAGTTTCAGAACCAGTTACTAGAGCAGTGCACATGTAATTGGAGATATCAATTTAGATTTGTAATTATTCCCATATTGTTCCATTCATAAGAAAGGTTGATGAACTTTGTAAAAATGTGATATTTTTAAATGTATTATAAATGTCTGAAATTTGTTCATCAGTGGTTGAGATTGTGTATATATAAATGAGAACATAAATGAAATAGATTCACAAATGAATGCAAAGTTCCATGTTATCGTTGCCATATGATAAAATTAAATATATAACTGCTCTTGCATCTGTAAGCTAAATTATTGCAGTATTATGGTGCAACACAAGTATACTGTACTTGTTTGATGCATCTACTTGTATATATTGTTTTCATTAGGCAAGGGCTAGTTGGAAAAGTTAATTTGCATATGTGTTTTCTAATGTTATGTATTCAATCATTGTGAATAAGTTGTATACATGAGGGACATATATGTAACTAGTATCTTCCAAGATAAAATAAATATTGATGTGATTATATCTTGTTTCAGTTATTCTCTCTCGTACAGTTATTCATATCTCTTGCTCTTCAAGCCTTTCTTTTTATCCTAAAGATCAGTGATTGTTGTTGTATTTGCTATATTAATATGAATGCATTAAGGTCATACAATTGAATTCATCAGCTATCAGACATTCTTGGTTCTTACTTTCATCTCTTAGGAATATTAAAGAAAATGGGTATGAAATGAATTTAGATTGTTTTATTAAAATCTTCAAAATGAAATAACTTTAAACTTTCAAATTTCAGACAGCAGTATTTTTCTCTCTTGCATTTTCTACTATGGGAGAGTATGTTGTCCAATTTTTTGTTGTAATTACTTGTGACATTGTTCAGTACAATCAGTTAAAAAGTGTGGATAACGAATTGTCCACTTTGTATTTCTTGCAATTACCCAATTTCATTTATGTTGTTGAATGCTAAATTACATTGACAAATACATGTGTGTCAGAGACTTTCTCCAATGTTAATGCAAAATTTTCAACAATCAACTTGTCAACCACTTAAAAATAATTTAAATATTTTACATTTTTTATACGGCATGTTCTTTCATGATTTGGAAATGATAATATTGAACTGAAATATTTGAGCGCTAGTTTTCAGCAACTGCAATGTCTGAAGAAATGTATTTAAAAATAATGAGAGGAGGTTGGATGATTTAGATTTAGATGTGATCTTTAAAATATAAGAATTCTTGTTTTTATTCTTGGTTTCTGAATAAGTTTTACCACACTTCTACAGATCTTCGGACATGCTTCAATTGTGTACTCAAGTTAGAAAATTGTATTACAAACTCTCTTGGAATCTGATTAAGATATAATTTTGTAAGAGTGATTGTGTCAAAAACTTGTGGCAGTAAATATGATTCTCTTTCCCTTTTTTTAAAATGTGTTTCATGGTTCTATATTAACAAGTTCGTGACATATGAGTGGTTCAACAATTAAATCATAAGAAAGTATTTGATCTGAAGAAAATTACTTCAAATGTTGAAATCCTTTTCAAAGCAACTTCAGTTCAGAACTCGCCCTCCTCGCAAACTTTTTCTTAGTTAGCTAGAAGCAAATGTGAATTCATTTTGGAAATACTGCTTGAGAATGTGATATAATCAACTTACGAAGAGTCACTGCTGAAATTTGGGGGTACGCTTGGGGACACGTATTGTCTTTAATCATTTTAATGCTCAGGTTGAAAAAGATGTAAATTTTAGTCATTTCAAAAGGGAAAAAAATTCAGTCATCTATGACATTATTAATAAAAGAGATAATACAATATGTATTTGGTTATTTATTATATTGCATGGGTATATGGGAATGTAAGTTATGTGGTAGCATTAATTGTATTTCTTGTCTTGAATATTAATTCTAGATATGCTATATAAACTGAGGTACTTTCTTACTGTAAGGTACATGGTAAAATTATGTTATCATTCTTATAGTCATGTTTTGTGTAGATCAGATGTCAGCAACAGCTCGAGTTCCAATTAACTTTTCCAGAAAATCAACACTACATATAATAAACAGTATGTGCGTGTTTTTTTTTAGACCCTTTCAGACTTCACTATCTGAGAGAAGCAAGGTATTATTCAATACATCAAGGTAGGCATCATAATGGTGGGGAACAGGTCATTTTTTTGTACCCTAAACTAATTAAATATCATCAAATTAGAAATTCTTACAAAACTCTTTTAAATTTCTTATGCTATGGCTGTCCCCTTATTAATAATATAATTATGAATATATAACTGTTTAAAGCACCACCTTATACTAAACTTTAACCAACTAGTACACTGTAATTATTTGGAATAAATTGAATCATCGTTATCACGAACTGCAGGATGAAACGGCCAGAGGGGGGCCTATTCCTGGTTAAGCAAAGTAGACTGAATACTTAAGTCTCCAGTGTGTTCCTCGCCGTGATTCCACTCTTTTTGTCTTTTCCTATACTTCTTATGTCGTATCAAGTCAGCTTATAGAGCCATTTACACTCTTTACCAAAGAACATTACTCAGGGCAGATGATTATCAAAGACAGAACACAATTCATACATGCTTAAAAGTAAAATTGAAAAGCTTTACTGCTTAACACATGTTCTTAACGTGCTAAAGGAATTTTCAAATTAAAAATTTCCTTAAAAAATATAAATAAATAAGAAAATTTTGTTATCCCATTCGATTTTTGTTTCAAGCTGAAGCAAAGAAAAAAGAACTGCATATCGCATCCTGTGAAATAGAAGAAGAAAAAAAGCTGGTCAAAACTTGCCTCCTCACCATTTCTAGTTATAAATATAGAATGTACTACTATTATTAAATTTGATGTACTTGCAAACATAATTGATATGTATTATTAATGTAATTATTATTTTTAATGTAATTATTATTATTAATATAATAATTATTATAAGTAGTAGCATTAAAATAACATATTGAAATGTTAATTATTAGCAGACTCATTTATCCTATTGTATAAAAATCTTAATCTACACTGTAAAAGTATGATTTCTAGACCGCATGACTCCATCTCTATCAGGTTTTGTTCAGTTTCCCTTGTCCTTTGAGCAATGCTGAGATGGGTCCGTGTTTGCTCTGATCAGTAATGTAACTTTCGCTCTCGTCGCACCAACAGCATCATTTTGACTCATCATAACAACAACTTTGTAATTGTAATTGTATATGTGACTCAATAAATATTATTATTATTATTATTATTATTATTATACTTTAGGGCAGTCTTTGAGAATCTTCCTTCTTTCAACATGTTCCAGCCGTTTTTTCTGGTTCTTTTTAACTTATTTAATCTACCTCTAGTCTTTGGTTGTCTCTTTGTTTTAGGAACCAAGTTTCTGATCTAGATAATAGCATTGGTTTGGCTGTTATGTTTTGTATTCTTCATTTGGTTGCTTGTGTCATGTCCTTCTCAAAGCGTTTTAATTATTCTATTTATTCTATTATATTTTAAAATTTTGTGTTGGAGGTCCTGGGAATTTAATCCAATGTCATTGCCTAAATATTTGAATGTTAATACTTGCTCTATTATTTCCCATTTAATGACTGTCTTCACTCTTCTTATTTCCTTTCTTTAGAATGTCATTGTTTTTGTTTATTTGTCAAGATTTTCATGTCACAGGTCTTTTTTATTTTATTTAGTTCATGTGTTGCTATTTGGAGTTCATCTTCTAATTCAGCCAACATTATTTGGCCATCTGCAAACAGAACTGTTTGTATAGTTTGTTTTTTGTTAAGTTGAACACCTTGATTTACTGATTTCTTTCATCCTTTGATGAGACTGTTGGCATAAATATTGTAAAGGTTGGATGATAGGCCACATTC